GGCCTTGAATTCCGTGCTAAGAAGCTCGAACCTCATACAGTGGAAAGCCAGTGACCCACTTAAGAATTTAAGGGAGCATCCAGCAGCTCAGTGGGGGATGGACTGAAGGAAGAACAACTGATGGCAGGCAAACCAGCAAGGCCACCATGGCAGGTCAAGGGAGTGGATGCAGTGTGGCAGAGGGGTACAAGAAAGAGCTAATCCCACTGCTGACTCTGCGGTGCGGTGGTGGGCAGGTCCCTGTGACTGACAGGAGGGGAAGGAGAGCAGGGGGACAGAAGGACAGCCCCAAAGAAGCCAGCTGGGGACCTGGGGGGGAAGGTCTGCTACAGACTCTGGGGCTCTGCTTCAGGGACTGCATTATGGGTGATAAATTCACGGCCAAGTTACTTTCTTATGAAGGTTACCACAGATACATCAGCGTGACAGGTGAGGCGTGGGGGAAGAAGGTTTGGTGGGTTCGAGTTGGAGCTGAATATTAGATTCTAGTCACTATTTGATTGATCTTTTAAGCAATTCTGGGATTCTGTCACTTAAAAACCAATAAATCTTTGAAGGCCTGGGGAAAGCAATGCAAAAGCAATAAATCTCCATTGTGGAGTATTAGAAAAATAGGCCAAGCTTCCGAGGTGGTTTGGATGGAGGGATGGGGGTGCAAGAGCCCCACAAGACAATCCGCTCTTCTCCTCCTTGCCTCCCTGCATGGTGGGGGGAGGGGGCCTGCAGCCAAGGCTCAGGAGGGAGGCTGCTGGAGAACCGGCTGCTTGACTCAGGGACGTGCTGGGGTTCACAAGTTAAAGGCTGGACCTGCACCGTCCTGGGCTGGAGGCCCCCTGTGAATTCACCTTGCCTGCCCCAAGTTCCCAAGTCAATGAGAGCTCACTCAACAGCCCTACCAAAAGGTTACCGAGATCTCACTTGACATCCTGGGCAGAGAATACGGAATGTCCTGAGGGAGCAACGAACTCAGAAGCAGGAAGCGAGGTCCTTGCACTGGCTCCATGGAAACGAGCTCCATGACCCTGGGCCAACCACTTAGCATCTTAGACCTCAGCTTCCTCCTCTGATATGCAGATGGTACTCCCCACCAGCTGACTCACTGGGTAAGCGAAGATCACATGATACAATGGAATTAAAGGAGCTATCAACCAGAAAATATGATTCCAGGCACCCATGACCCAATCCATCCAGTGGCTCACCATGTCCTACGGTTAGAGAGCCTTCACTGTCTTCTTGATGCCCATGCTTCCCTGACCTGTGGGACTCCTCACTGGCCTGCTTGCCAGGGTTGTGCCTATCCCTCTAGCCAGTCCAGTTCTCTCCATCAATACACTGTCCCCACAGGCTTCATAGTATCTTGTTCTGCCAGTTTCAGTACTGGGTCTGCTTACCTGCTCCATGCCCTGCCTCTCTCCCTGTTTGCATGCACACTTGCTGGATGCTAAGCCTCAAGAGGACAGGTGTGTATCGACCTTGTGTCTTGCTCTATCCCCACTGCTTAGCTCAGTTCCTGGGACACAGCAAGGGCTCCATATATATATGCTGAATGACCTAATGGTCACCTGCCTCCCAGATGGGCATCCCAGTGCCTAGAGTTCAAGATGAAAGAGGGTTAAGGTAACTGAAATCTTCCATGACATGGCCACTGCTGTTGTTGCTGTTGGCCTGGAAGTCACGCAGGCCGGCACTGGCTAGTCTTCCCTTCCTGGCAAATGCCCAAGCAACAGTCTGAAAATAATTCCCCAAACTGAGCCTACACACACCCTCAGTGATCCAGAGCCTTGAGAAGAAAAGCATCCAGACATTTCCAGACACCAAGCATTGCCCCTTTAAGCGGTGACATTTAATTTTTTTTTCCCAATGGAAATGTCACGAAAATATGGCATGCACAACTTTCTTCTCGGGAGGTAGTGTGAAATGAGCGCTGGCTTAGGGTCAGCTGAACTGAGTTTAAATTCTGCCTCTACCGCGGCTTGTCTCGTGGCCTGGGTCAACTTACTTGGCTTCTATTGATCTCCGTTTCTGTATCTGCAAAATGGGGAGACGATTATGGCAATGTTGTGAGGATACAGAAAGTTTATGTATGGCGACAGGCACGTAGTGAGGGCTTACTCATTATGTGGGAACTAGCAGGCTCTTTTCACTTGAAGACGCAGAACCTAATGCTACATTTTTAGTTGAATCAGAGCAGCTAACGAACATCCATGGCTGTGAGTGGCTGCAGGGGTCACAGCAGGTACACCTCCCCGTTTGCTGAGTCATCTGTGATTGTTTTGTAGACTTGCCCTGTTTTTTTGCTCCCTGCTCACTGTCATTTCTCACTGCTACTGGGGCATTTCCATTCCCACCTCCTAATCACCGCAGTCTTAGGATGCAATGAGCTTAGTGCAAACTAAGAGCATGCAGGCTCAGAGGGGAAGTGTAAGGGGCCCCTTTTGGGGGGGGGACTGGAAAAGCTTCCCCAGGAACATTGGTTTGGGCTGCTCAGAGGACCCTTTTGCTGGTCTCTGGAGTTGGGCAGGCCTGGGTGTTAAGTCCCATCACATCACTTACTGGCTCTGTGACCATGAGCTTTTAGTTTCCTCATTTAACAGGGACATAATAATACGGAATAGGTTAGTCAAGGTTAAATTCTTGGAACCTAACAGTCGCCCAATAAGACACGATGATAATTACTCCCATCTGTGTTCAGCTAGGCTTGATGAGTTTTCAGAGGCTCACAGATATATAATCTGATTCATTTTGAGGATGGGACCTTGGATCCTCTGTAGAGAAAGTAACTTGATCTGCCGCTGGGCAAGACCAAGATTGCTTATTTCTCAGTATAACACTTTTTTTTTTTTCTGAAAAGAGGTTTTTGTGCAACTTTGTGCTGGAATAAAGTTAGGGGCTCCTAGGTAAAAAAACAAAGCCCTTTCTTTCCCACCATGGAACTAGGGTCTCGAAAAGCCCTGGAAATTTGAACAGGTTGTAAGCCTCATCTCATCACTTACTAGCTCTGTGACCATGAGGAAGTGGGCAACACTGTGACCCTATAGTGAGGGTAGATTTTCAAAAAACCTGTTCTGAATAGAACCCCCTAAGTGTCACAGAGAAGAAGCAAAGCTAAGGAAGGAACTAACTCTCTAAGGTCTGCCTTGCTTTGGGCACTTCCATATTTTATTCAGCCTCTATGAAACAGCTACCATCCATGCCTTCCTGATAAGGAAAACTGAGGGTCAGGGAGATTAAGTATCTTGCTCAAAGTCACACAGCAGGGATGGAGCAGGATCTGAATCCAGGTTAGCAGTCACCAAAGTCACATCCTCTCCATCACCCCACACAGCAACCAGCAGTCGGCAGCAAGCTAGAGAGAACCCGCACCTGCCAGGAGCCGCACGGTTGGATGCCAGCTGATGAGGTCCCCTTGCTGATCTGCAGGCTTGCAGTAATGCAAGGGGACACGGGTCTCCAACATAAAGGTCATAGGCTTTCCGTCAGATCTGGCCCGTGCACCTGGGTCAGCTGCTAACTTGCTGTGCAATGTTGGGCAAGCTGTTCCTTTTTCCCGGACCATACTCGTACCACCTAAGAGGCTCTCTTAGATTTTGAGGTAGTGACCAGTCCTGCTGTATGAGAGGCTGAGAGCTGGGAAAGGGAGAGAGGCATTGGTGGCCCAAGGGGAACACATGATTTGGCACCTGGGGGACCTGCATTCGAGTTCAGCTCTCCTACCGACTCCTGTGTGTTCCTGGGCATTTCCGAGCCTCGGTACCTTCCCATGAAAATGAGGACAATCACTTATAGAATGTACAGAGAGAGTGAAATCCGTGCACAGAGAGAAGCAAAGGACCATGTTGCCTGAGAGTAACAGGGAGAAAAGCAGTTAAGTCAGGTAATGATTCATCTGACGGAAGAGCCACCATCTGCTCTGGCTCATCACAGGTAGGACAGTTCTGGAACAACCCATGTGGAAAATATAAGACAAAAGTTCTATGGCCAGGAGCTCCACGAGTACTACACACACCTGTTGCAAGGCCTGACTCAGAGTCAAACACTGTTCAAAATCTTTAGAATATGTGGCAACTTCTAAGCTATTGGCCGTTGATTCTGTTTCCTCTGCCACTTACACTTTCTGGGTAGAGCTGGATCCAGGTCGGAAAACAGAGAACTAGACCATCTCAATAGCCTCCATCCTGGCTGGTCTCCCAGCCTCCAGTATCATAAAAGTCACATTGCAGGGGGCTATCCAGTGGCTCCCCAAGGGCCCTCAGAGAAGCTGGAACTTCTCAAACATGGCCCCCCTTCTCACCCAACCGCTCCTGCCTTGCCCTTGATGCTAAAGGAAGATCCTGAGCCTTGGATTAACTACTCCTGGTTGCTCCCATGATATCAGGCTATTTCTCTCCTTCATGCCTTGCTCATGCTGAACCCTCTTACTACTTTGGCAAAATCTTATATAACATTTAAGATACATCTCTGTGTCACTTGAGAATGTCAGCTGGGAATGTCTTCCCTGAACTCTCATAATGATCTATGTATATCTCCATAAGCACGCACTCTATTGTAATTATATTCTCATGTTTTTTGCTTCCCAACTCAAGTGTGACTTTCTTTAGAAAATGACTTCTTCGCGGCTAGTTCACTGCTGTCTCCCAAGTAGTTAAACAGGGCCTGGCCCTGAGTGAGTGCCCAAGAAATGTTTGCTGAAGGAATGAATAAACAAATCGTTTTGATCCCCTGTGCCCCATCCATTCCTGGCATGTAAGATGCTCAACGCATGCTTGTTGAACTGAGCTGAGCCAATTTTTTTTTTTTTTTTTAAGTAGGTTCCATACTCAGCATGGAGCCCAACACAGGGCTTGAACTCATGACTCAGAGCAAGACCTGAGCTGAGATCAGAAGTCAGATGCTTAACTGACTGAGCCCCCCAGGTGCCCCCGAACTGAGCCAATCTGAAAGCTGCAGCCCTGGGGCAAAGTGTAGTTGCTGGCAAAGTCCAAGGGAAGAACCTTTCTCACCTGACAGGGGCTCCCCGTGACTGAGCGGGCTTCAGCATCACCGTGATGGTCGTGTCTGTTTCATTCAGTGGGGTGTCTGTGTCATATTCAGGCATCGACGGAGCTGGGCAGAGAGCAGAGAGAGGAGGGCACTCAGCACAGGTCCCAAACCCAGCTCACCACCTCCCCATTGGGGCCATCCCTAAAGATACCCAGGATGACCAGTAGGGGGACATGTGGGAAAGGGTTCGGTGAGAGGCACATGGTGTCCCAGGCTTTCAGCAGAGCATGCTCTCCTTCCCACCTGCCCTCGGGTCCCTCCCAGGTGCGCAAGAGTCTGGGGAAGAATGGCCATGAGGTGGCCAGCGCCCTCAGGAATCAAAAAGTTCCACACCAAATAAACAGATAAATGCAGGAAGTCTAAGTACTTAACAAAGACGTGAAGGCAGAGCCGATCTTGTTCAACACATTTGAAATGCAAATCACAGCAGTGATGAACTAGTTCCTCTTATCTTTTCTCTCTCTCTTTTTTTTCATGAGACCCTCCCTTCTCTCAGCCCCAACTGATAGGAGTATGAAAATCTAATCCCTTGGGAAGGTAATCTAGCCATTTATATTAAGAGCTATTAAAACCCACATCCCTTTTAATTCAGTATTTCAATTTCTGGAATTTAATCCTAAAGTTATAATCCAAACCAAGGAATTAAACTTTATTCTGTAACAAGTTTATGAAGCATTATGTTATAAAAACATGGAAGCACCAAATATATCCAACCACAGGGGAATGTTTAATTAAATAACGTCCATCCACTTGACAGAACATTATCATGAAAGCAGTGTACCAACATGGAAAACGCTTATGGTATAAAGATAAGTGAAAACATTAAGCTGCAAAAACCACTGTGGGTATCTATACAAACTATGTATGTATGCAGGCCAGAATTGCACAGGGAGTCTCAAAAAATGAAAATTGTAAAATGGGATCCGAGATAATTCTGTATTGATGTTGCCCGGTGGTGGAGGGGGCCCTCCCAGGGACGGCAGGTGAAATCTCAGACTTCTATGGCTTTGGACTAGTCATTCATTCATTCATTCATTCATTCATTCATTCACTCATTCTCAGACATTTCATGAGAACTTGTGCTGTGCTCTGTACTGCCAAAAGGAATATTGCTGAAAGCACATTTTTACAAACCAATTTGTATGAGAAAAAATGTACTATTTAATGCAGTTGTGTGGTAAATTATTTGCTGAATCACTTAGCATTCCCGCTGGTCTAGTCTAATTAGTATGTTTTTTACACTTTAGGAAGTTCGTGGATTCGGTTTCTTCACAAGACTACCATGCTAACACGTTAGGGACTACATCATCCTAATTGCTCCAATACCACCAGGTGACAGCTGGCTCTGTCCTTTTTTGCTCCCAGAAAATTAGGAATGGGGAAAAAAAAAACCCAGAATACGCTTCTTCCCTTTTCCCTTTCTATTAAGAGAGATACCTGAAATTTTGGTGGCAATCCTAGTGGTGACAGGGGGCCCGAAGCCCTTTGCTGTGCTGGCCTTGATGGTGAAGGAGTAGGTGGTCCCCGGGTACAGACCCACAAAGAGGTGGTGGGTTTCATTCCGGAGCTTGAAGACTTTCCCCCGCTGGCTGGAGAGGTCAGCACTCGGGTCCAGTGAGCCAACAGCCTTGTAGTTGATCTGTACGACAAGCCAGCAAACAAACAAGTAAATACCTCACTCGGGAAGCTGGACAGAGCTCATCCAGGGAAACATCAGGAGAGGCAAAGAAAAGGAGGCATGAAGGCTTGAACAGCAAGCTCTGCTGTGACCGTCCACTTTCCAGATTATCCCAGCCTCGAATACTCCACTGTTGATACACGGGAGCCTTGCTGCCCAACAGAAACAGAATGTGAGCCACACACCTGCTTTTCAACCTTCTAGTGGTCACATGAAAACAGAAGTAAAAAAGAAAGTAAAATTAATTTTAATAATATATTTTGTTGAACCCGATATTTGCAAAGAATTATCATTTCAACCTGTAATCAGCCTAAAAATCTAACGCGGTATCTTATATTCTGTTATTCATATTAGGTCTTAGAAATCTCGTATGTACTTTGTCCTTAAGGCACATCTCCATCTGGACTAGCTACATTTCAAAAGCTCAGGAGCCATGTGTGGCCAGAGGCTGCCATATTGGACAGCACCAAGAGAGGTGTTTATGCACGGCATCCGATAAGAATGGTTTGGAAGGCTAATTTAAAAGGCAGTTCCCGTGTCCCTTGGTGTCCACATGGCGCTCTCTGGTGCTTTTTCTTTCTTTCTTTCTTTCTTTTTTTTACTGCTCTTCACTTTATTTTTAATTTGTTTTTATTATTATGTTATGTTAATCACCATACATTCCATCATTAGTTTTTGATGTAGTGTTCCATGATTCATTATTTGCATATAACACCTCGTGCTCCATGCAGAATGTGCCCTCCTTAATACCCATCACCAGGCTAACCCATCCTCCCACCCCCCTCCCCTTTAGAACCCTTAGTTTGTTTTTCAGAGTCCATCGTCTCTCATGGTTCATCCCCCCCCTCCAATTTCCCCCTCTTCATTCTTTCCCTCCTGCTATCTTCTTCTTCTTCTTTTTTTATTTTAACATATAATGTATTATCTGTTTTCTCTGGTGCTTTTTCATGCATTATCTTGTTCCTCTTCCCCAAACCTTGGGGCATCAGGATACTTATTCTCATTTTTAATGGTGGAGACGCTGAGGCTCAACTGGAAGTAACTTGCATGAAATCAGCACTTTCCAAACTCTCTACAGTAAAGGCCCAGGTTTGTGTTTCTCAATCCACTGCTGACCCATCATGATCTGCAGACCACATGGGACTCATCACGTGAGTCTGGTCACAGCCAAACTGGTCTGCACTCCGTGTGATGAGACCCGTCCACTCATCACACACTTGGGTGTTGCAGCAATGTCAAGGTACTACGAGAGTTTCTAAGCGTTCACTCCCAATTTCTGTACTTACCCTGCTGTGAAAGTAACCAAACAGGTGGCATTCCAGCACCAGCCCCCACAGATCACATTTTGAGTGCCACATTCCTAAATCACACAGTTGTTAAAGTGACAAACACAGGATTGTGTGTTTGTTTCATCTAGTCTGTTCTATTAAAAATGTTTTATTAGAGTATAACATACATACAGAACACTATACAGTTCAATGAATTCTTACTAACAGGACACAGGCCAATAACCCAGCACCCAGTCAAGAGACAGAACATCACCGGAACCAAGACGTAGCCTTTGTGCCCCCTTCCCATCTCCTGCCTCCCCCCACCGCAACCCAGCAAGGATAACCTCTATCCTGACTTCTAACAGCACAGACTAGTTTTGCCCGGTCTTGTACTTTATATAAATGGAACCATACAGGGTGTACTCTTGCATGTCTGGCTTCTTTCACTCCACATCATGTTGGTGAGAGTCACGCAGGCTGTCCTGTGTCACTAGAGATCACGCATTCTCGTGGTTATGCAGTGTTCTACCACCAACACACGACAAACCCAAGTCTGGGGATCTGAACGCTGTGCTCCTTATTCTATAAGGAGCTGCCCGGCTTGGAGACAACACATCATTACCTAAAGAACGCATTCATTCAATCCATTTACTCATCCACTTATTCGCTCCTTCACGAATGTTTCCCGCGCAGGCCTGTATTCTGGGACCTGCGCTGTGTTCTGCTGGGAACAGCCCAGGTGAGTGCAGGCTTGACCCTGTGCCCTGGGGTCTTCCGTTCCAGAGCGAGGCAAGGCAACGACACAGACACCGAACGTCACTCTGTCTTCTGTAGAGAATGTCTCAGACTCAACGGGGAGACCAAACCCAGATCGCAACAGGAACACACCAACTTTACATCCGAAATAAGCAGTTGGCTGTTTCTGGCAAGGGCACCAGACGTTTTGGAGACAGAGGTAAGTTCTCTGTCCTCTGTCCTGCAGTAGCTGTGTAGGAATCGATGTCACCTGCCGAGGAGCGAGGCCAGACTACTTGGGGCAGAGCAAACCCTGGAGGAGAAACACGCAGAGCTGAAGGATTTGGGCACTTTGCAAGCAGAGCCACCGGCCAGGGGCACCCGGGCTGCAGGTCCTTGGCGAACCTGTCCCCAGCTTTCCCTCTGGTCACCTCTGCCTCCTCCATGCTTCTCGGAGGGAAGCACTGCAAACATCTGCCTCTCTGTGCGTGAGTGCTGTTCCGAGGCGGGGGGGCACTCGCAGGAAGCTCTGGATAACGAGCACCCCCAGTGACCAGACTCACGGTAGCTGATGTACACATTCGCTGGGCTCCTCCCACGTGACACCCCCACAGCATCCCAGGGGACTTCTTGGAGGGATTCCACTCCGACTGCCTCCAAAGGTAGCCAGCTGGGGAACACATCCATCACTGGCTTCCTTTCCCTTCCCCACTCCCGCTTCTCAGTAATCTACTTATATTCGAGTCTATGTCTCAGGGTCACCAAACTAAGACAGTGTGCTCCTGGAGGTTTCTCAGGGGAGAAGTGGGCTGACATCTGATGATGACAGAGTCAGAGCAGAGGTGAGAGCATTCTAGGTTCACAGCAAAGGGAACTGCCTGGGTGAAGGCCTGGGGGAGGAACAGGGTTGGGAGGAGTGAGGAGAGCCCAGTGTGACTGGTGGGTGGTGAGCAAATGGGGGAGCTGAGCCCCCCATGTGCAGCTGGATTCCAGTTTCCCGGTGGCACAAGAACAGAGACATCCAGAGAGCTCTGCTGGGTGGCAGCTGACCCCAGTCCACCAGGTGCTCATGCATTTTGAAATTCTGCCCCTGTCCCCTTGCCTGGGCTGGTGGCAAGCACACTGATATACAGACACTGGGAGGTAAAACTCATGCCTTATTTACTAGCCAATTCCTTTCCTGCGCTCCAAATTCAATCCAAAAGCGACTCAATTTCCACCGAGCTGTCAATATAATATACCGTGCTCCCCTGCTCTCCTAACCTTTCCTGGTATTACAGGATCCTCACTTACTTGTAATGAAACACTATGAATAAATCAATGTATGTTAATATAGCGTGTCTTCAATTTTTTATGAAGGGCTTCACCAAATCTAATTCCCACTGCTTTGTCAGAAACAGTCTTTGAAAAATTTAACTTGCAAGTTTTACGAAGTTAGTTGGGGATTGGCCTGGGGAGGGAAAGCCAGGAGGTGAGAAAAATGGAATGGGATGGAGCTCTGTGGTCATAAAATGCATAATGCAATGTGAACTTTGGAACTGGAAGAAGAGCAAGATTTGTTAGAATAGCAAACATAAAATAAAGAGTTAGTGGGGGAAAGGGTGCTGAGCTGCCTGTCAACCCGGGTCTCTTTTGATCACTGTCAGGGAGATTCCCAGCCAGAAGCCAGAGTGAGCACTTCATAAGGAGAATCTAGTCATATCACCCCTTAGAGTCAAAAAAGCAGTGGTTTCCCATTGCTCTTGGGATTAAGAGCACACTCTTACCCTGTGGTTTTCATCACTCCCGCGCCATCCCTCTTGTGTTCCAAGGCTCTATTCCAGTGTCTGAAAAGAGCTATGGTTCCTTTGGCCACAGGGCCTTTGCACCAACTATTCTGTCAGCTGAGAACACTTACCCCTTCCCATGCCTTCCTTTCACCTAATTAATGACTCCTCATCTTTAGATCTCACTTAAAATGACACTTCAACAAATGGATGGTCACCAGAGGGGAGGTGGGTGGGAGGATGGGTGAAACAGGTGAAGGGGATTAAGAGGACACTTATCCTGATGAGCACTGAGTAACATACAGAAATGTTGAATCACTGTATCATACACCTGAAACATGTAACACTGTTCAGTATCAGGCCAATAACTGATAAATTTACAAAAATAAATACATAAAAGGCACCCTCCCCCTGCAAATGACACTTTTCATGAGTACCTTCTCCGACTCTCTGGTCCTCCTATTTTATGTTCCCAGAAGAACATCTCTTCCCTTTGAACCACTAACTTTACAGTGAGCCATGCAATTGTTTCATTCATGAGTCTATTTTCCACTAGCCCAAGGGTTGAAAAAGTAAAGCCTGGAAGCCAAATGTGTCTCATCATCTGTGTTGGTACATAAAGGTTTACCAGAGCACAGCCATGCCTTTCAGTTACGGATCACTATGGCTGCTTCCACACTTCAAGGGGGGAATTAAGTCATGGCAGAGAGACTATGGCTCATACAGTGTAAAACATTTACTCTCTGCTGCTTTATAGAAAAAGTTTGCTGACCCCTGTAGTAGACTTTAAGCTCCACAAGGGCAAGGATCTTATCCAGATAAGATACATGCTTCCCCATGCAGTATAAATGAATGATCAAACTAGCTATGCAGTTTGAGCAATTTGCTTCACTTCTCTGAGCATAGGGTTCTTCCAGGGTTAAATAATCATTTTAATTTTGGTTTCTGTTTGATTTTGCAGAGTAACCCCCACTTCTTCACTCCTGGAAGGCAGCCTCTTTGATCAGGAGTGAGGCTCCAGGGGGGGTCCATGAGCAGCTTCTGCCTTTGCATCAAGGCTCTGGCTGCCATGGACCATGGGTCACCTTGTGAAGAACAAGCAGCCTTTATAGCCCAGGCTGCAGAGGATGCGGCAAGAGAGGCAGGAAGAACAGAAGGAAATGATTTCCCTCAAAGAGCCCCACTAGGA